TCTGAGTTTTCATACTAATACATTTTATTACAAGCTAAAGTAAACTACGCTGTGCTTATAATATAATGCAAATTATTGTCAAAATTAATAAATAAACTGTAATATCCCATTAAAATCAATATGAAAAGCTAATAAAATATAAGCTATAATTACATTCTGAAGTCGGGACTGTTTTTAAGTAATAAACTATCTTTGAAGAGCAGGGGTCGTATTACAGAAACTTCCTAACCAGCAGATCCTATCCTAACTGCTTGGTTACCATGGTAATAAGGGTTAGGAACTGAATTATGAAAAAAGCCATTACAGATTAACAGTTCCTAAGTTAATGTTCCTTTCCTAACTTTAGATAAGAAAAGTGTATTATAGAAGCATCCTAACTTTGTAAAATCTTAAATAAACGCTCTTAACCTGTTGAAAACAATCACCTTTTTCTAGAAAAAACGCCTAAAATAACGCACCACAAATGAATCAGGAATAACTCCTCGACCATTTGGCCTAGAGGCATAATTCTGGTCTCCTTTGAAAAGTCAGAAGCTAAGGAATAGAAATCCATTGTATATTAATATATTTATTTTACTATTACAGACTACATGGATATTACATCAATCGATCCGGCTTGAGCAGACCTTTCATTTGGTACCCTTTACTGAGAAGAGTAGCCTTACGGGTTTCTGCCGGGGTCGGTGAGGGTGGAGCGACCAGCGGCTTTTCTCTGCTCTTTGGACACAACAGCTGCCTGTGTCTTCGTATCACTGTAAATGGACTTATTTTCTTTTTAGCAGCATCAACGCTCCGCTGGATGCCGGATATGCGGCGGTGACTGGGTCCGTTATTTTAGCCCCCTCTCTATCTGTAATAGAATCACATATGAGGAATTTGCCTTAATTGGTGCTTACAGTACACTTGGACATGACTATAAATATAAATATATTAAAAGTAAGGAGATCAAAAATTACTATAATACAATGCTGGAAAGTATGTGCAACAATTCACAACATGAGCATAAAGCACAGTTGAGGGTTGTTGTAAAGTGTGTCAGGAATGTTTATGTGTGTGTGTGTTTGGGGAGGGAGGCATGAGAGTCACTGACAGTGGGGACCTGGACCTTGATGAGGGCCATCGGGAAGAAGCTGTTCTCGTGGCCAGAGGTTTTGGTCCTGATGGACCGCAGCCTCCTGCCTGAGGAGAGTGTCTGAAACAGTTTGTGTCCGGGGTGGGAGGAGTCAGCTGCAGTCTTTCCTGCACGCCTCAGAGTGCTGGAGGCGTACAGGTCCTGAAGAGAAGGAAGATTGCAGCCAATCACCTTCTCTTCAGAGCGGATGATGCGCTGCAGCCTGCCCTTGTCCCTGGCAGTGGTAGCAGCGTACCAGATGGTGATGGAGGAGGTGAGGATGGACTCAATGATGGCGGTGTAGAAGTGCACCATCATTGTCTTTGGCGGGCTGAACTTCTTCAGCTGCCGCAGGAAGTACATCCTCTGCTGGGCCTTCTTGGTGATGGAGGTGATGTTTAGGTCCCACTTGAGGTCCCGGGAGATGATGGTGCCCAGGAAGGGGAAGGAGTCCACAGTGGTGACTGCGGAGTCACGCAGGATGATGGGGGAGGGTGAGAGTGAGAATGTCCAACTTAACATGCTGCTTCCTGTCGATCAGGAGGTCTGTGATCCACCTGCAGGTGGAGTCAAACATGCTCACCTGGGAGAGCTTGTCCTGCAGCAGGGCCGGGATGAGGGTGCTGAAAGGTATAGGTTCCTTGGGAGGTCCTGCTGGAGGGCCATGTTTACTGCATCATCTACAGACCTTTTGGCTCTGTAGGTGAACTGCAGGGGGTCCAGGAGTGGGTCAGTGATGGATTTTAGGTGGGACAGCACAGGACGCTCAAAGGACTTCATTACCACTGATGTCAGGGTGACGGGTCTGTAGTTGTTTAGCCCTGTGGTCCTTGGGGACAGGAATGATGGTGGAGGCTTTGAAGCAGGCTGGCACATGGCATGTCTCCAGTGAGGTGTTAAAAATATCAGTAAACAACGGAGACAGCTGATAAGCACAGTGCTTCAGGGTGAATGGGGAGTCCGGCCCAGCTGCTTTGCGAGGTTTCTGCCTCCTGAACCATCTGTTGAAATCCGTCTCCAGGATGGTAAGAGAAAGGGAGGAGGTGGGGGATGAGATAGTGGACTGTGGCTGATCTGGGGTCTGTCCCATTGTCTTTCAAAGCAACAGTAAAACTGGTTCGGCTCGTTGGCAAGGCGTGAGTCGTTCATTTAGGTTTGTAGCTGGTGATCTGTCTGAAGCCTCTCCAGACAGAAGCAGAGTCATTTTTTGAAAACTGGTGCTGTAGTCTGTCTGCGTACAGCTGTTTAGCACCGCCTTGCTAAACTTGTGCTTTGACTCCTTAAACCTGGTGCGGTTGCCACTCTGAAAACGCCTCTTCTTTTTACAAACTCAGCTGTCTGAGCTTAGCTGTGAACCAGGGTTTGTCATTGTTATAACTCATCCTCGTGCGTGTTGGTATACAGCTGTCCTCCCAGAAGCTGATGTAGGACATCACAGCCTCTGTATTCAGGTTGTTGGTAGCAGTGCTGGAACCATCCCAGTCAGTGGTGTCCAAACACGCCTGGAGGTTCTCTACAGCTTCACTTGTCCACTGCTTTGATGTCCTCACTACAGGTTTACACAGTTTTAGCTTTTGTCTGTAAGCAGGAATCAAGTGAACCATGGTGTGGTCAGAGTGGCTGTAGCTTTTCACACAGACATGTTCCAGCTCAACCAACGTTCCCGGCTCAGAGTCCTTTCTGGCTCTGTGATGTTACCTGTCGTATTGAGCAGAGAGCCGGCATATTGACACAATACTACCAGGAAGAAAAAGGCAGAGTGACAGTGGCTATAGATAGACCGGTAAACTCCCACTGCAACGTTATAGTAATATTTACAGTAATATCAGCTGCAGTCAGTTTTGTTGGTTCCAAAACAAAGCAGAGGTCTCTCTGTGACTCAAGCACGTCTGATGTTATTGAGCCACAAAACATAAGTATTCCCAACCACAGTTGAGTTTTTGTTCAGAATAAAATCAGAAACAATGGCCACACTAAACACCAGGCTGACGCCGCTCACAGTTTACTGTGACGAGGGATTAATGAATAGCTGTCTCATCTCCGGTAACGATTATGCTCAAGTTACACCGATTGTTTAAGCAGACTGTCATTTCACAAGCTAGAACTATTTGATAGATAGAAGCAAAACAGCATCAAAGAAGTTTTGGCAATGACATGAGTGAGGGAGAATCTGATGGGAGAGATAACAGTGGTCATGAGTGTGTAAAGTCTAAAGTCCACTGACTCCGGCTGCGTCGTGGTTGCTGGAGATAACTGAGGCCATTCTTGTCAATGCTTGTGAGTCCACCAGACAGGGCCGCAGCCCGTCCCTGAAGCGTCCCAGGCCCGGCTCTCCGCTCAGCAGAGAAAAGGTAGCAGGTCTATTTTTAACGGATGGCGCGTCAAGCAGCACAGAGCAGATCAAACCTGACAGGAAATCAGACACAACAGCATAGAGAATCCGGTAAATTTTCAAAATAAAACACCTTGTGGAGACTCCTGATTACAAAATACAATAAACACAGTTAAAACGGACACAAAAAGAAATAATTTAAATAAGTAGCCTACTTAATCATAATCGAAGCACAAAAAACAAACCCTGTTTACCAAATCAACAAAATCTAAACCTTTACTTACAGCCTGCAGATGACGGTCACAGAGAGCTGTGAAGAAGGTAGTAGCAGCATAAAAAATGAATAACAAGTCAAGAACGTGAGGCAGGCAACACGCTCCGCTGCTTAACCGCTTCTGAAACGCTTCCAGTGGACGCTGACTCAGGATGGAATAAAACCGTGGCGCAGCCATACCGAGACGTAGACGGAGTCTGTTTTTTTGTGACAGAGAGAGAGCGTGCGCGCTCTGTGTCCTTAATCTCGTAGCGTAGTCTAAAACAGTCTAAAACAGCAAGTTATTATTACCAAAACTTTGATCAGACATGGTCGTTGATCATAGTGGTGCTAGGCTTGCACTTAGCTTACGGCTAGCCAAAGTCTAACATGCTTGCTAGCAAACAGAGACAACATATGTTCGACAGAGCAGCAGTTGTCTTCGGTCTAATGCATTTATAAAGCCATCAAGCCAGCAACCTCATCATGCTCATAATTAGCAGTGTTTAACGTATTTGTAGTTATTTCATTATTTCACCACTTTAATTCTACTTCGTTCTCCACCTTGTTTTAGTGTTTCTGCTCCCTTTCTCTTCGCGTCTCTTTTCCCCACCTGCTCACACCTTCACCTCTGGTGGGCAAACTATGCAACTGTTACGACCTGAGGGAAGGATCCAACTCTCTGTTTCTCTTTTTTAATAGTCATATATCGGCTGTTTTGAATGCCGATATATCTGCAAGTAGCTTATATCGGCCGCTAATATCTGCAAAACGATAAATCATTCGGGCTCTATTAAGAAGAAACCATGATGGTATTCTGGGTTATTCACTGAATTTACAATCAGAATATCATGTGTGCAGACACAAACTTCAAAGGTCTCATCAGCTTTTAGAGCCGACTGACAGGTCATTACCCATAATGCAACTCGAAAATTATTAAGATGATTGAGAAATGTTATGGGTTCATCTGTGATGATCAGTCTGATTCCTATAGAGTCTGTGCCACCCCAGGCCCATCTGTGGACACAACCCTGCAGTTGGTTGTCACAGATGGTAATGCATTAATCAAACTTGAACATTGTGGGTTTTGTTCCACAGACATGCTCTAAATGTCATTTATGGTTCTAGATAGCTCGCTCCACCATGACATCTCACTCACTGTCTTTCTTTCTCTCTAACTCTGTCTGTTTCTGTAGAAACGGAGAAGAAGAGATGGACTCAAACGTCACCACTGTCAGCACTGTGACAAATCCTTCACAACATCTGGATCTTTAAAGATTCATCAGAGAGTTCACACTGGAGAGAAACCGTACAGCTGTGACCAGTGTAGGAAAGCTTTCACTCAGTCATCTAAACTAAAAATCCATGAATGTGTTCACACTGGAGAGAAACCATACAGCTGTGACCAGTGTGGGAAAGCTTTCACTTTATCAGGTAACCTAAAAATCCACCAACAAATTCACACTGGAGAGAAACCGTACAGCTGTGACCAGTGTGGGAAAGCCTTCACTAAATTATCTAACCTAAAAATCCACCAACAAATTCACACTGGAGAGAAACCGTACAGCTGTGACCAGTGTGGGAAAGCCTTCACTAAATTATCTAACCTAAAAATCCACCAACAAATTCACACTGGAGAGAAACCATACAGCTGTGACCAGTGTGGGAAAGCTTTCACTTTATCAGGTAACCTAAAAATCCACCAACGAATTCACACTGGAGAGAAACCGTACAGCTGTGACCAGTGTGGGAAAGCTTTCACTTTATCAGGTAACCTAAAAATCCACCGACGAATTCACACTGGAGAGAAACCGTACAGCTGTGACCAGTGTGGGAAGGCGTTCATTACATTATGTCACCTTCAAACTCACAGACGTGTTCACACTGGAGAGAAACCGTACTGCTGTGACCAGTGTGGGAAGGCGTTCATTACATTATGTCACCTACAAACTCACAGACGTGTTCACACTGGAGAGAAACCGTACTGGTGTGAACAATGTGGTAAATTGTTTTCTCTGAGTAGTCACCTTAAAGTCCACCATCGCAGTCACGCGTTGCTTCGCTGTGAACATTTTTCAGAGCCAAGCTAGCTGTTTCCTCCTGCCTCCTCCTCATGTCCTGATAGCTGTGTTGTTATATTCTGAGCTTCTCTACAAACTGAGGGAGAGACAACATTAACTTTATATTCTGAGCAGCATGTATCGTGGCTGCGACTACATACTGTCCTGCTCCTCCTCTCCTCAAAATCCTGTTGTCGGAGCACACAATGAGGCCACGCCTCCCACCCTCACCCCTCTGCCGGAGGGAGGGTCCTGGAAGAAGTGGGTCAGAGCCAGGCTAGCTGTTTCTACTGAGTCACTCTGTTTTATTGATTTCTGATCCACTTGGATTTTTATTTTCATTGCTGAAAAGTCCACGATGATTTCATCAAAACACCTGTTTTGTCCAGAACTTCAATCCTGGATAGATCAGGCAAAGTTTTATTTATTTACTTATTAGTATTTTATTGTGTTTACTGTATTCAGTAATAATATAAGTATAAGTATAATAAGTATTAATGTATTGTGTTTATTGTTGTTTACACTTTATTGTGTCAATACATTGAAACATTTCCTGTTTTTTAATAGTCTACACAGTTTTAGACCTTTGTAGTTTTTGTTAAGTAAAGTATAGTAAACATGTATGATTGTATTTCCTGAAAGAGAGAACTTTATTGATCTGAACTCAAGACAGCCGAATGTCTGAAAATAAATTTTAAATAGTACATGTTGGATCAGGCGTCCATTTGAGGCGGCTGTGACTTAGAGGTGGAGCGGGTCGTCCACCAATCCGAAGATTGGCTATCGATCCCCGGCTCAAGAATTCGGTGTCTTGCCCAAGTGTGTCTTGCCCAAGTGTGTGCTGAATTTGGCCGTTTCACTGCAGGCCTGTTAAAATGGGTAAATAGTTTATAAACGTGCAGATAGTGTCTCTGAATACTCTGGATACGTACGATATATCAAAAAATGTGGGTTCTGTTTCCTTGTTAAATGTTTTCCAAAACTTTACTATTGATCTGTTTATTGTGATTAATAATTACATTAAGTTATACTCTGTCCCCTTTAACTTTATCGTCTGTTACATACTTGGTGATTTTAATGTTTGTGTAACATTGATTCTGTACATGGTTTAATTGATGACAAGAATAAAAACATAGAGAGAGAATTTTACCAGACTGATACTTTATAGAGATGTGACGCAGGTCATGATTCCGGGTTCAGATGTTTCTATCAATGCTTGCCTAAAGCTTCTGCTGGGGAACAGGCTGGACCAAATCAGCATTTACAGTCTCAGATCAGGATTTAAAGTTTAAAACAAAAGCTTTAATAATTCAGCAAGTTAAAATGTGCAGTAGAAAACAGTTCAAATCTGAGTCTCTTAAAATGGCTCTGTGTGTCTTAAATAAGGACAAAGTTAAATACTCAGTCCTGCTGCTGTTGACACTCAGTTCGTTCGCAGAGTTTCACAGAGCCACGGCGCTCAGTTCAGGGTTCCTCCGGGGCCACGGTCCTCCTTTTCAGCTGCTCAGTGAGACAAAAAACCAGCAACCCTGGATAATGAGACGTTCACTGTAGACAGGTAAAACTGGATTAATGATCCCCAAAACACCCCGACTAATAAAAACTACAGTAAACATGCAGAAGTGATAAAGGATAAATCCTACAAGTCTGCTATGAAGCTGACACATAGCAGAGTAGGACCAGAGAGTTTTTAACTAACATGGACCCCTCTTTACATCCGGGTAAGAGTTTGATTATGGTCCGATTAAAAAGATCACGATAAAACAAGGAAGTAGTCTGTAATTCTTACAACAAAGCACATCTTGCAAACAATGAGATGGGAGAAGAGCATAGGAGAGGATCTGAAAGGAGGGTGGGACGTGTCCCTGCGTCTCCTCGTGTTTCACAAAGACGTCCCCTTCTACGTGGATCCAAGCCAGCAGCTCTCTTCTCCTGTTGGGTCACGGTGTCTTCCTCTCTTCTCGCCACGTCGGTCAGCCTGCTTCTTTTACCCCGAAGGTTTTCTCAGCTCTGTGGCGACTTCCTCCTTCTGACGTCTCTCTGGAACTCTGTATCTGTCCTCTGCGTGTCTGCCGCAGCCTCAAAAAGCCTGGCGGGAGAAAAAACCCACCTGCAATATTAGCAGAAGAGGGGGGCGTGGTCCCTGTAAGTGGTCCCTGTACGTGGTCCCTATATGTGGTCCCTGTACCTGTGGGTGGTCCCTGCACGTGCTCCCTATTCGTGGTCCCTGTATGTGGTACCTGTAGCTGTGGGTGGTCCCTGTACGTGGTCCCTATACGTGGTCCCTGTATCTGATCCCGGTGTCTGGTCCCTGTACGTGGTCCCTGGTGTCTGTAAACACATCAGAGTAAAAAAAGAAAACAAAGAACAGGACTGTGGTTTGTCTTGAGGTGATACTCAGAAGACCAAAGATACGTTTCTGCAGCTCAAACTGACCTGATTGATAACTTTGGAGTTCTTTCACTCTTGTGATGTGGGGATGTCTTGTGTGTCTTTCTTGTGCTTACATTCATTAGGTAAATCGTGAACACCTGAGGGCCCCAGTGTGTGCTGATTATTCAAGCCTGGCAGTAATGCATTGCCTCGCTCTCTTCTTTCCCCTTTCACGGATGTTCTGAGGCCATTTTGAGTTCTCCGTTGTTTTATTCCTACAGTTCACACAACACCGTACTTTCGCTCGCTCACACCTTTCACTACTGATTTAACTGATTTACAGGCAACATGCTTTGTTTTACGTTTTATTTGAATTCAGTGATTATATTTAGGTAAAAATTAATTACTTTGTTATACTTTCAATGTGGTGTGTCTCAAGGTTATCGTAAACGAAGACGAACAAAATATCGGAAACTAGATGTGAAAAAACATTGAAATAAAAATAAAAACGAGGCTTAACAAAAACGATAACTAACTAAAACTATATTGTAGGTTTGCAAAAGTAACTAAAATGAAAGAGGAAAAGTCCTTAGTTTTCATTTATTTATTTATTTCATAGGACCGAAGCCTACGTTTCAGTGGATATGAAGCCGGGGGAACTGATGTTGCGGGCAGTTGGTCTTGCAGTTTAGAGGTGCGCGCAGTGATTAGCTAATAGCAAAGTCCGATAGGCACCTGTTGGTGGGCCGCGGGTGTTTTGCTTTTCTCCTCCGCGTGAAGAGCTGGCACGCTACGTGTCGTGTGGCTGACCTGCCACGATTGCTTTATCCTTCAAAAGAGCCCGGGGTCAGGGCGGCGTCCGGTCGCAGCTGACGACCGCTGTTAGGAGGAGAGCCCCATGTGACGTTAGAGGGAGGCTAACTTAGCCGGGGAGACCCAGGTAGCAATCGACTGGTAGTTGGTGGGATTTTAACATGTTTTCTATCTTTTATGCATAGCCAACATTTGTACAAAATAATATGAATGCAACAACTGTCCAGAGCTGTGTCAGACAGAGTCAGTGTCTTGGTGGTTTTCTTTTCCTTGTTCTGTTCTGATGGTCTGGCTTAGAGCTCATCCTGCATGTGAGATGAACTTGCCCCTAGTAGCCTTCATTGATTGTGAGCTCCCCTTGCGCTGGGTTAACGTGTCTGCTGGTGATATTTACTGCATGTCAGCTAGTGTGTTATATCTATATCTCAGCCAAACTGTCTCTTTGTGCTTTTAATAGAATCAATTTTTTGATTAATATAGGTTCACATTTTAATATAGCCCAACTGCTTTCCAGTCAAACTTACCTTCAGGGTCCTAGGGACCTGTCGTTTGTGGCTCCACTATCTTCCAGTTTCTTAGCTGTCCATCACCTCCACTAAACAAGCAAATTAACTTTAAAAACTAATTAAAACTAAACTGAAATTGAATTCAAAAAGTCAAAACGAACTAAAAATAAAAACTAACGTAAAATCCAAAACTATAATAACCTTGGTGTGTCTCCATATTTGTCACGGTCCAAGAGCCAGATCGTGACACTGTGTGCATCACAGCACAGCAGCAGCTTCCTCCTGCTGTGGTGTGAAGCTGGTGCTTTCTCACTATAGTGTGTTCTGCTTTAGCTGGTGATGATGTGTTTGAGCTGAAATGTGTGAAGTAGCTTTGTGGTCGTCCAGCTTCCTGAGAAATCCTCTCCAGTTTTATTTGGTCTTTCATCGTTTACATCAGCGGTGATTGTAGAAATAAAACATTGGTCCAAATGCCGGTTCATCTCTGCCAGGATTAAAATGATGGGGGGTCAATACTGAATCCTTTATGTGATTTATTTATTTTTTTGACAAATAAAAAGGGTGTTAGTACGGAGTCAGTCACCACTGTGAGTATGAGTCTCCGTCTGGGTCCTATTCCCCGTCTTCCTGGTTACCTTGGACGTCGTTAGGCCTATTTTAGGGGAGCTAAAGCTAATAATATTAAGACAGATAATTATTAGATTTAGATTTTTTGACAGTGTAGACATCAACAAAGAGAAGCAAAGAGAAGTAGAATAATCAAAATGTAAATCGTACTTATTGGCTTAAAATAATCCTTCTGGTTGTGTCCTCTGCTTCACAATTTAAATGCCTACTGTGGTCGGGCACTAGGACCCTGAGGGAGGCTGTGTTTCATCGATGCTCTGCCTAGTTGCCGAGCAACGTTACTACACACACACACACACACTGAAACTGTAAGTTATTGTTAGTGACTTGCTGAACTTTAGCTGCGTTTACTTGAGGTAAAGGAAAACACTAGTGTTGATCATGTGAACGGCATTAATATTCCCGATCTCTAGCTGCTCATCTCTAAACAATATCAGTCCCCACATAATGTTGTTGTCAGTGAAAACCAAAGGTCACAGAGTCCCTGGTAATGCTGTTGTACATCCTTCCATTCATTCAGTCAGCAGTGGTCTACAGGTCAGCAGTGGTCTACAGGTCAGCAGTGGTCTACAGGTCAGTAGTGGTCTACAGGTCTGAAGTGGTCTACAGGTCAGCAGTGGTCTACAGGTCTGAAGTGGTCTAC